TTTTTTTTTTTTTTTTTTTAACATTCTTTTTTAACATTTTTTTTTTTTTATAATTTTATTTTTTATAAACATATATATATATATATTTTTCCCCCAGGGGTACAGGTCTGTGAATCTCCACGTTTACAAACTTCACAGCACTCACCATAGCACATACCCTACCCAATGTCCATAACCCCCCCCAACCCCCCTCTGCCCAGCAACCCTCAGTTTGTTTTGTGAGATTAAGAGTCACTTATGGTTTGTCTCCCTCCCAATCCCAACTTGTTTCATTTACTCTTCTCCTACCACATTAACCCCCCATGTTGCATCTCCTCTCCCTCATATCAGGGAGATCATATGATAGTTGTCTTTCTCCGATTGACTTATTTCGCTAAGCATGATACCCTCTAGTTCCATCCATGTTGTTGCAAATGGCAAGATTTCATTTCTTTTGATGGCTGCATAGTATTCCATTGTATATATATACCACATCTTCTTTATCCATTCGTCTGTTGATGGACATCTAGGTTCTTTCCATAGTTTGGCTATTGTAGACATTGCTGCTATAAACATTCGGGTGCACGTGCCCCTTCGGATCACTACGTTTGTATCTTTAGGGTAAATACCCAGCAGTGCAATTGCTGGGTCATAGGGTAGTTCTATTTTCAACATTTTGAGGAACCTCCATGCTGTTTTCCAGAGTGGTTGCACCAGCTTGCATTCCCACCAACAATGTAGGAGGGTTCCCCTCTCTCCGCATCCTCGCCAGCATCTGTCATTTCCGGACTTGTTAATTTTAGCCATTCTGACTGGTGTGAGGTGGTATCTCATTGTGGTTCTGATTTGTATTTCCCTGATGCCGAGTGATATGGAGCACTTTTTCATGTGTCTGTTGGCCATCTGGATGTCTTCTTTGCAGAAATGTCTGTTCATGTCTTCTGCCCATTTCTTGATGGGATTATTTGTTCTTTGGGTGTTGAGTTTGCTAAGTTCTTTATAGATTCTGGACACTAGCCCTTTATCTGATATGTCGTTTGCAAATATCTTCTCCCATTCTGTTAGTTGTCTTTTGGTTTTGTTAACTGTTTCCTTTGCTGTGCAAAAGCTTTTGATCTTGATAAAATCCCAATAGTTCATTTTTGCCCTTGCTTCCCTTGCCTTTGGCGATGTTCCTAGGAAGATGTTGCTGCGGCTGAGGTCGAAGAGGTTGCTGCCTGTGTTCTCCTCAAGGATGTTGATGGATTCCTTTCTCACATTGAGGTCCTTCATCCATTTTGAGTCTATTTTCGTGTGTGGTGTAAGGAAATGATCCAATTTCATTTTTCTGCATTAACATTTTTTTTTAACATTTACTTTTTAACATTCCTTGAACTGCTTGTCCATAAGTAATGATGTCCTTTCTTGTGCTGTTGCTCACACAGCCATTAATTCAGGCTCTTATCCCCTCTCATCTGCTCGGTTGCTGGAGTCTCATCAGTGATCTGCCTACCTTAGCCTTGAGAAGTATTTCTCCTCTCCAGTCCCTTTGCCTTCTACTACCAGATCCATCTTCTCAAGCTCCTGCTTTCTTCACTCAGGCATCTCTGGTGGTCCTCATCCCTACCTGATTGGGATACCAAATCCTCCCTCCATATATCTGTCCTTCTCTGTGCTATGCCCCAGAGGTGGGCTCTAGCCAGACCAGCTTCCTCACTCCTCACTTCTGTGACGACACTCGCCGGTCCTGCTAGGGCACCAGTTCTCCCTGCCCGTCAGGGCTTGGTTTGTGTTCTACCTCCTGCCTGAAACCTTGGTCCTGATCTTTCCTGTTCCAACCCTTTGTCTCTAGCCTCCAGTAACATTTGTGTGTGCAGAATAGCCCTTGATGAACATGTGCCGTATGTGAGAGGAGAGAGAGCCTGTGAGTGTGTAAACATGCCCTGTATGTTACTGTTTCCGGCACATTTCTGGTGTTGCCAGCTGCTTGCTGTGTCCTTACTGCTTACGTTTCCCTGTGTAGTGCAGCGCCACTAGCCCTCGGCATGCCTACTTGGCAGTGACTTACCAGAATTCCCAAAAGTTGTGAAAGTTTATTTCAACTGGGTCCTCCTGACGGGCTTTCCAGTCTGTTCAGTGAAAACCTCTGGTTATCTCTGTTCTGCTTCTCTCTATCCCTCACGCCTGCCTGTTCACTTGTTTCCTCAGCCCGTGCCCCGAATCATGGTGCAGTGTGCCCTCGCGGACGCCAGGACCACCGGAGCTCTGGAGGTGAGTCAGACGGGGGTGGGGGGTGGGCCGGGGGCGGAGGGACACCTTCACTGGTGGCAGCCCCACATGTAAGGGGGTGGCCCCGATGCTGTAACTGTTGAGTGCACACCCGTGGGTTTCTCATTTTAACATTCCTGTTTTGATAATTAGCTGTAATATAGGTCACTGTCTTCTCCCTCTATATTTTCCTTGTTCCACTTTTCTATTTTCAACTTGTTAATCATATGATTGCTAAACTTTTAGGTGCTTGACTGCTAATGTAGTCTGTTGCTTTAATAGCCCACTGCTAGGCAAAGGCGATTTCTATAAACAGAGCAATCTCCTTATTCCAAGTGTTTGCTTAATTCTCAGTTTTACATTTCATTCTGATTCATGATATCAGCGTGAAAAGACTAATGCTAAGCTGGGGAGAAAATAGTCTCTTATGATCTCCCACAGATGAACAGCACTTCTCATCTTATGAATAGCAAATCTATTTTCTCCCACTGTGTGTTCATTCTCTTAGGAAATGCTGTATCTTCATCGGAAAATTTTATTTATTAAAACAACAGAAAAAAGGGCAAATAATTTGGAAGGGAATTCAGCCCTCCACGGATTCAGTCCTTTTTGAAGGGCCCTTTCTATCTAATTCAGGACACTTTGGTGTTCACGTGCCCCCCCCCCCCGCCCGCCTCCATCCCCTGTGAGTGGTGTTCATTATTTTGCTGAGGCAGGCCTGGGGCCCCAAGGCCAGTGGGACAGAGGGAGACCGAATCTTACTGGTGAGGGCTCCAGATCTCCCACAGCTTCTGCAGCTCGAGCCATTCTGCTGTTTTTGCAAGGTTAGGCTTTCCCAGCAGTCTCTCGAAGTGTCAGTGGTCAAAGAATAACCCAAGGCTGGGAGCAGGTTTCCACTCACCTATCAACTCCAGTCAAGTGGGAGCGGCTTCCTGCAGTGTTTTCACGGAAGGAATCAGGCTGCGCTTGGGCTCAGCAGGAAAGAGCCGTGCAATCAGGACTCACCTTCTGCCACTGTGGGTCTCTGTTGTTGCTGCAAATCTGACCTCTGATACCTGGTTGTCACTTACTGGAGGCTTTGGATAAATCCTTGAACCTCGCCTGGGCCATGTTATAAAATGCATATGGTCAGACTTTCTGGCCTACATCAAGGGATTCATGTGGAAGCAAATGGGATAATGACCAGAGAAATCTAAGGCACTGTCACTGGACTGTTTCCTCCTCAGGACGGGATATAGCTGACCCTTAGACAACTGTCTGTGTGGCAGCGATGAGGTATTACCCAACAGGGGAAAATGGAGTACCCACAAGTCCAGAACCAAAGTTCCTGTTCAGATTCCAGGCTCTTGTCATTTTGTTTGTATATTCTTCCCTGCCTGGTCAGTGATATTAAAAATAAAACAGAAAAGAATAAATAAAACATGTACAAGTTGCAAAAGAAAAATGATTGAAGGATTGCCTAATCTTTTAGAGTATTTATGCTGGTGACAGTTATTGATCTATTGGATTTAGTAAATTTTGCAGCCTAGAGATCCATCACAAAAATGGGCTGTTAATCTCAAGAGGTGCCGTTAATTTCGTACCCTGAAAGTGTGCCTTGTGGGGAAAGGAGGGCCTCTGGAGACAGGAATATAAATGACAGTTCACGTGAAAATGCATGATTTATCAAACTGCTGAGTTAAGCCAAGTAACTGTAAGAGACTTATAGATCTCAGCTGTTTCCCAGTTCAAATAAATCCTGTATTTCAAATGGAAAATGGCCATTCCTGTAATATAAATAATCTTTCTGTAAATATTGGAAAACATATTTCTTTTTCTGACCAGCACCCTTCTCCAGTGCTCCAACCGCATTCCCCATTCCTGCCTTCTCTCTTGCCCCTGTCATTGTGAATCGGGAATAGAAAGGGAATCTGCTCCCTTGTTCAAATGGCTCCAGTTATCAACAAGGGAATACCTTAGCAGCACCTCAGAGATGATAGAATGTGAACGAGCCGAGGCTGTTGTCATTCGCCAGGCAATGGGGCCCTGCGTGCGTCTCTGCCAGTGTGACTCAGACGGGTGATCCCAGAGGGGGAGGCCAGCCTCTGTGGCTTTGACCGCGCTCACCCGCTCTTCACAGTGGGGGACGTGGCTGCTCAGCTTTTGTCTCCCTGGATCAGGGGGCCCCCAACCCGTGACATGGGACTGGCCTGCTGGTCTCCTCTTCCACCTGACTCCCTACCGGGAGCCGCAAGTCAGCCACCAGGCCTGAGTGTCATTCCTGGCTGTGCTGGTGAAGCTATGCTAAGTCCCTTGTTCCTCCCCCAAGCAGATCCTTGTTCTAGCTCTGCAGGAGAAAGGCGTGAAGTCTTCTGTGGGAACAGAGTTCTGAGTCTGAGTGCAGCCAGGCCAGGGGTGCTGGTGGGTAAGGAGGGACTGGAGATTTAGTGTGTACCTACTGGTACCTACTGCACCTGTGGTGAGGGCCTTTTCCTGCCTTGTCAGGCCTCACAGACCCTGCGTGGCCATTGAGTATGCCTTCTTGCCTACCACCAAGTAAGCACTGTCCCATACCAGCTGAGTGTTCTGCTATTAAACTCAATTCTGACACTGTCTACCCAGGGATGGCGCCAGCGCCCACAGGTTAAGGCGTCAGGCCCACCAGACTGCCCCCACTTTGGACGCTATTTGCACGCCCCAGTTGTGACCTGTACTTCTGAACAACCAGCTGTAGATAAGATGTTTCCATGAGCCCCACCTAAGTTGGATTGATTTGTTGGAATGCTTCACAGAACTCAGGAGAACCATTTTACTCACTAGATCACCAGTTTACTCCAAGGGGTAGGACTCAGGACAGCCAGATGGAAGAGAGGCATGGTGCAAGGTGTGGGGAAACCCCGTGGACATTCAGCCTCCCTGGGTGCCCCGCTCTCCCCACAGGTCTATGTGTTCATCAGCCTGGCAGCTCCCAGAAGCCTGTCCTTCTGGATTGTTCTGGAGGCCTTATTACACAGGCACGATTGAGTACATCTTTGGCCAATTATGCTTAAGTCCCCTGTAGCTCCTGTCTGCGTCCTGAGGCTGTGAGGCTAAGCTCTCATCACAAGGGTGGTTCCCCTGGCAACTGGCCTGCCATCCTGAGGTGCAGTCCCAGAGTGCCCGTTTTAAGGTGAACTCAGGTGTGGTTGTAGGGGGCTTGTCAGGAATATCAAGACACCTTTCTTGCTGCTAACATTGAGGAAATCCAAGGGTTTCAGGAGCTCTGTGCCAGAAACAGGATGAAGGGCGGATATGTGTTTCTTAGGGTGAGTGACGCTATTGCAGACCGTGGTTAGACTCCTGAGTGTGTACAGAAGGCAAGGAGGGGGAAGGGGCAGGCCGGTGGCCGCCCGCTGAGCTCTGGGTGCCGTGGGGAGTGCAGCAGCCACCTGGGCCATGGTGGGCTCTCGGCGTTGGGTGCATGGCAAGAGCGGGGACCAAGCAGGGGCACAGGTATGGCCCCGGGGCTGCCCCAGTGCATGGCCATGGCTTTCCACCCTCCAGGCCACCGTGTTTTCGCTGGCAGAATCTGTCGCGGTTCTGTTGGAAATGAGCCACAGACTTGGCATTTTAACCAGTTACCCTTGCACCCTTCCCTGTTCCAGGCTCCCAGTGTGGCCCCCGCGGTGACTGTGCCCCTGGCCCCTGTGAAGCTCCACGACAGACCGACTAAAGTGCCCGTGCCACAGGCTCCGGAGGTGCAAGAGGGGCCGCCCAGTCCCCTGAGCGAGGCCTCCAGCGGCTACTTTTCCCACAGCGTCTCCTCCGCCACGCTGTCCGATGCGTTCACCCTTGGCCTGGACGGCGCGGCCGCCGCGGGCGGGCAGACCCCCGGCTCGCCCCCGCCCACCCTCTGCCAGGCCACCCCTGAGACGGAGCTCCCGCTTCCACCCGCGGCTCCTGCGGCTGACAGTGACCTTCCTGCCCGCCCGCTCAGCCGGAGCTGCCTTCTGTCACTGCCGGTCCCAGCAAAGCAGGATACATGGGGTGACAGCCATGGCTCTTGCGACACCAAGGAGCTGGTGTCCTCGGAGAAGGAAGATGCAGGTGCACCCCCGACGTCTCTCCCAACTTGCGCCCCGCAGAAGGAATCATGCAGCCGGCAGAGCGGGGACGAGGTTTCCCTGGCCACCGAGCAGCCGGGAAGGCCAGAGGACCGCGTGAAGCCAGCCGCCAGCTCAGAGCTGGACGTCTCCAAACCACAGGTGCCTCCCGACCTCCTGTCTCCGTCCCCTGCTCCCTCGTCCCCGTTCAGAATCCAGAAGGTGCGGACCTCCGAGCTGAAGTCCTTCACATGCATGCTGGGAGGAGACCCCAGCTGCTCCTCCGCGGCGGAGGAGGACCTGCTGGCCTCGGGGGCGCTGGGCGACGGTGGGGCACGGGCACCGGCCCTGGGAAAGCTGGAAGTTTCCTCCGATTCCGAAGAAGCCAGCGAAGTCCCAGAGTGGCTCAAAGAGGGAGAATATGTCACTGTGGGCACCAACAAAATGGGCATCGTGAGATACATCGGCCCTGCCGACTTTCAGGAGGGGACGTGGGTCGGAGTGGAGCTGGACTTACCTTCAGGTGAGTGGTGCTGCTTGGGCCTCTGGTTCCCTGCCTGCAGCGACTCAGCTAAGGGTTGGGGGGCAGAGGAGTGCTGGCCCTCCCCCGGCACTGCCCGGAACCTGCTCTGGGCCCCTGACCTCCCTAAGCCTCCAGGTCACTACTTTTCAAATCAGGAATAAGAGTTTCCTAAGCGTTCTCTTTGCTTAACCTCCAGACATTTTTCAGAAACTTAAGACATTAATTGAAAGCTACTTTTAATTTGGTAATGAATCTAAGTACTTTTTTTTTTAAGTCACAGAGGCATCTGCTTTTGAATTGTGACAGTCTGACAGTAGCTCTGTGTGCTGTGTCTGCTCCGGTTTCAAACACGGGTGCCTATGGGGGTGCTGGGTGCCTGGGCTGGAGAACAGAAGGTGGGTGATCTAAGGTGCATTACAGACTCACCCGTCTCTTCAGTCTCATTACAGAACGGGACATTCTGCCACCGACTGCATTACTGTTTTCCGAAAAACCAGGGCCACAACTTAAGGAATTACTTGGTCCTTCAGATTTATTTATTTATTTATGAGAGAGAACCTGAGCAGGGGGAGGGGTAGAGGCAGAGGGAGAAGCAGACTCCTTTGCTGAGCAGGGAGCCCCACATGGGGCACCATCCTTGGGACCCTGAGATTATGACTTGAGCAGAAGTCAGTCAGCTGAGGCACCCAGGCATCCCCAGATGGGTTTGTTTGTTTTTTTTTTAAAACAGGTTTGTTGTGATACCACGTCACATACTGTAAAGTCTTTCTGTTAAAAGTATACAGTTTAATGGTTCTGATATATTTACACAGTGGTAACAATCATTAGTGCAGTCTAATTTTAGAATAGGTTCATCAATCCCCCCCCCAAAAAGCCACATTTCCATTTGTAAGGTAGCCTCCTCTCTAAACTCCAGGTAACCAATAGTCTATTTTTTGCCCCTCTAAATGTGTATGAAATGTCCCAGTCTAGACTTCCACATAAAGGGGATCAGGCAGAAGGTGGGCTTTTGGGACTGGCTTCTTTCACTTAGCATGATTTTCCAAGGTAGATCCGGTTACATCTTCTCTCAGCGTTTCATTCCTTTTTATGGCCAAACACTAGTCCGTTGTGCCCACCTTGTGTTCATCCATTCGTCACTGGCTGGACATGTGGGTGGTTTCCACTTCTTGGCGATTGTGAATAATGCTGTAAGTTGTAAGTGGTTCCAGAAGAGGCATGTAGCTGGAATAGTTTTTAAAGGAGAGTCTGCTACTATATGCAGAGGAATTGGGAGAGAAGTTTGTATCTGCAGTTGACTCAAGAATTAAAGAGGGATTAACAAATAGATGAGTTCATCCAGCAGTTCATATTAAGCACCTGCCATGTTGCAGACACCGTCTTGGATCCCAAGGATACCTTGGGGAGCAAAACAGAGTCTGTGGTTTCACTGGACTTTCATTTTAAGAGGGAGAGAATTGCCAAGTAGACAAATAAATAATTAAAATTTGATAGTAATAAGTATCATGAAGAAAATGAAATGGATTGAGTGGGCAGGATGACGGGGAGCCCAGAAGCAGGGACCCAGTGCTGGGGGTTGGTGTGTGTGCCCTGGGAGCTGTGCGATAGCAGTGGCCCGACCTGGAGGGCGATGGTCTGTTAAGTGCTTTGAGAGGTGCACTGAGGGGACCTTTGTTGATAGACAGCGGAGGTTGGGGGGAGGGCAGGTCAGATGTGCAGACAGTGAGCATAGAAAATTCATGACTGTTTTTGCTGCAGAGATCAGGTTCCCCACCAATCCATCCCCATGGCACACTGGCATTTAGGGGTCACCAGGGCCCCTCTCCCTCTGCTCTCTTGAGCGCTGGGTTCTCATTCTTCACCTTAATGCATTTCTTTTGCTTTTACAAAGGAAACTTCCTCACACCATCTCGATAACACCAAGTGTGACATCTGACTAGCTACAGTGGCGTAATTTCCCAGTTTCCATCTGATAGATTCAGGAAAAATAATCATTCTACCCACAACTCCATCCTAGGTTTACGTGTGGACCAGCCAGGTTGAAGAAGGTCCATGCCCCAGAGTGGGGTGGGATTGGTGACTTGCTTGCACCTGGGCATTGAAATGGCAGGATCTGAGGCTACCCATCCTTGGGGACCACCATGTGCTGCCCCGAGACAGTCACCCCAGCCCCCTTTGCTCAACAAAGAGTGCCTATGCCCCCTGGGGAGCCATCAGGCACAGAGGGACAGGGAGTGAGGGTCCTGGGAAGTCACCTTCGTGTGCTCTTCTGTCTTCCCTTCAGGTAAGAATGACGGCTCCATCGGCGGGAAGCAGTACTTCAAGTGCAACCCTGGCTACGGGCTGCTGGTGAGGCCAGGCCGGGTGCGCAGAGCAGTGGGCGCGGGACGGCGGCGCAGCGCGGGGCTCCGGCTGCAGGGTGCCCCTGAACCCCGCAGGAGCAGCACTCTCTCCGGCTCCGCCACCAACCTGGCCTCTCTGACGGCGGCTCTGGCCAAGGCAGAGGGCACTATGGCGCTGAGGGCCGACAGGAGCCATAAGAACCCCGAGAACCGAAAATCCTGGGCCAGCTAAACCAGTGCTGGGCACCCCCGCCAACCCCGGGTTGCCTCTTCCCGGGCTGCCAGTCTGCTTCCTTCTGCTTCCCAGGCAGAGGCTGACAGGCAGGGGGGTGCCTTTTCGGAGCCTTGCCAGTGACAGCCCTGGGGTGGAGTTGGGACCTGAGTGGGCAGGGACACCTCAAACGCCCTTCCGTGGGGAGCATGGCGAGGTGTCCTTTCTGCACCACGCAGGGCTGCTGACCTCTCCCTGCTCCTCCCAGGACTCTGGAAGCTTCAGGTCTTCCTCTGCCCAGAGAATGGGGAGGCACCTCAGCAACGTAGAGGGGTTGATGGTTCTAGGAGCCCAGAGCAGTCCTGGATTGTCGGTGTCAGTGGGGCCCATGCCTGGGGTTTTCCCCTAGGACTGTTGTTCTTTTTTTCTGTTCCGATGACCCCATTAACATCTTAACCATCCCAGTGCCTTTCTCTCCCTGCAGAGGTGGGGCCTCCTCCCTGTGCCTCCAGAACCAGCACCCAGCAGACCCACGCTGGTTCTGGCTTGCTCCCTAGGCTCACTGTATCCCTCTGACCCCCGGAGTCCCTACACCAAGTAACAAGCTCCCATAAGTGCCTCTGGCTGGCCTCCTGGGGCTCCTGGCACAGGGTCCTGGGTGCCCTAGCAAGGGGCTCTGGGCCTGGCCCCTCCCATCCTCCTCTCTTCCTTTCCACAGAGTTTCTTAGGGCTTTCTTTGTGGGTGTGTTAGTGTCTTAATACCTGCAAAGTGTTTTCTCTTTGCCATTTATTCCCTTAACAGAGTGCTTGGAATATATTTATTTATATTTATTTTTTCAAAATCCGAAATCACTCGTGAGCCACAATCGCCTGCCCAGGCAAGAGTGCCCAGGGCTTGCCTTGCGCCTCGGCAGCCTGTGATGTCACTCAGAGGGTGCAGGTCCCAGAGGGGCGAGAGGGTGATGCCCCTCCTTATGTCATGACTGACGCAGATACACCAGTGGCCTTCCTCTAAGGTAACAGTGACAACTTGGAGAATTACTTTATTGTGCTTCTGCAGTAACGAAGTCAGAGGCATCACGACCTTATTTGGTGCAATTCTGGTTTCTTGGAAGGACCTTAGACTAGTTTCACTTTTTGGCAGTTCTCTACCCTGACTCCCTGACCCGAGCCTGGGGGACTGTGGCCTTGAAGGGCTCCCCACATCCCTGCGGCTGGCCTTTGCCAAACCACAGATGTGGCCTGGATAATACGAGCCCTTCAACAGCATTACCCCCCTCCTGCCATGGAGCCCTTTCCTGCCGGGTGCACTGGGGAAGGCGTCTGTGGAGGCGAGCAGAAAGCTGGAGCCTTGCAGGCCTGGGTGGTGTGTGGCCCTGAGGGGGAACGTGCTGGCTGGGCAGCGGAGCTGCAGGGTGCTAGGGCCAATGGGGCCCTTCCATGGCAGAGCCACTGCTTCTCCTACTTCCTGCAACCCTAGTCCAGTGGCCACCTGCCCTGGGCGTCCTCACCAGGGCTTGATGGACCCCAGCCATCAGCAGGAGCCTGGTAGAGAAATGGCTGCTCAGGCCCAGAGCCCTGGGTCAGGATTCATACACAGCACTCCTGGAAGGCCTGTTTTTAGTTCTCACGTTTAGACTCTTAAAAAACGATGCCCAGAAAGGCTTTTCTGAAAGGTCTCATTCTCTAGGGATTGGAAGCCCCTCCTGAACAGTAATTCCGGGTTCCCTGCCCCTGAGTGAGGCTGTGTGGGGCCCACGGCCAGCTGGGGAAGCAGAGACCCATGGGCCCCCCAAGGTGTGCGGCTGCTGCAGGCTTGATCCCCCAGGGAGGAGCCCGAGATTAATTAACTCCCATTAATTACACGTGGCGGTGCCCGCCCTCCGCTGGGGCCCAGCTGTGCGCCAGGTGGAGCGCTGCCCCTCCCGCCCCGCCCCACCTCCCCGGCCCGCGATTGGACCTCTGCCCGGGAGGGGGTGGTCCACGCTCGGCGCCTTCCCGGGACCTCTGCCTCGCCGGCCCAAAGCGCGAGCTGGCCCCCGAGGATGGGGCCGGAGCTACACCCCCCGCGTAGCTTCAGCTCCGCAGATGTTCGTGGTTGCCGAGCTGGAAGGGAACTTCTCAAGGGGAACAGGCTGAAACCGAGGAGAGTTCAGCGCTGCCTTCCAGCTTGTAGAAGCGCCAGCGTCGGATTCCCAGCGCGGCGCTCTCAGCTGTTCCCCAGAAGCACCGGCCCCTCCTCACAGCACCCTGGCTGCCCTCCCACCGCCTGGGGCCCCGGCGCTCTGAGCGCCCCCCGGGACCAAGCCTTTGCCGTCCCGTCCTCGCCCTCGGGGGGCCGTTGGCCCTGCAGATCGGTGTCTCAGTTCCTCCGGTCGTGGCGGCCACGAGCGCATCGGGGCTGGTGGTGTGCCCCCGGGAGGGCCGGCCTGGGCCCCTACTGGACGCCCCAGGTGGGAGGGGATCCCGCCCGGGGCGGCAGCTACGCCCCCGCGGTCCTGCGTGCTATGGGTCCTGGGCTCCGCTCTTCTGCTTAACGTCCTTCCCGGCGCCGAAGTCTTCTAACAACCGGTCTCTGTGGACACCAGCATCCGTGTGGTTCATGGACGTAGGTCCCGCCACTGCCCCTTTCTCTGAGGGGAGCGGCTCTTGCTCCCGCAGCCTCGGGTTACCTGCCTGTGGGCCCACGTCACCCACCAGGCTCCGTGGGGAGAACCAAGGGAAGGCGGCTTGGCCCTTCACGATCCTCACTGGGCAAAGTACTTGCTGGAGCCCAACTGCCGGTAACGTGGCACCAACCACGCTCTGTGGAACCGTCTGGGGAAGGTCAGTTGGGAGGCGAGGGCCGTGGTTCTCGCTCTGTCACTAGGGTTAGTTCAGATGCAGCAGACCGTGATGGAATTCTGGGCTGGAGCAGGGTTTTAGGGGCCAGAGCCTGCAGGGACAGTGGAAGAGCCTGGACAGACTGAGTTCAGAGCAGCCCGGGCATGGGAAGACTTTCCAGACCACCTCTCTCTGCCATGCTCCCCACCTCCCCTTTGCTTGGGGCCAGCTTTTTAAACACAGGGGCAAGCGTCCTCCGCCTGAGATCCCCCACTCCGCCTTCCTGTTCCTGCATCTCGGCCTCTCCGGCAGCCCCGCCCCCTCCCGCCGCACACCCAGCGTGGGCTTCGGGCCGTGCTGGGCCTTTGAGCACCTGACCGAGCGCCGGGCGGGGCAGCTCTGTTGCCTTCCTGCGTGCTTCCTGCGTGGGAAGGTTGTCGGTCCTCCTGGGAGGAAGGTGCTACAGCGGCTTCTTGCCAGGGGTTTTCTGCGAGTGGAGTGAGCTTTGGGATCCGTCCCGCAGCGTGTGAGAGAGGAGCGGGCCGTCCTGTAGGTGTTCTTGGGCGGTCACCAGTGCCTGGAGAAGCGGGTGTGGCTCTTGTGCCCCAGCTGTGGCCCCGCGGGCACCCTGGCAGCCATGAGGGCTGGGCCGGATCCTTGCAGGGACAGGGTTTGCGGCCCTGAGCCTCCTCTCTTCTTGCTCTGCCCCTGGAACTTCCCTTCCAGGCCCACGTGTCGCTGGATAACTCGGGGTGCTGGTGTCACTCCGTTGCAGTCTGCTGTCTTCCTGGGCAGCCCGGGGTAGCCCCGCTCCTTCCCGGGGAGAGCGATGCGAGTCAGATGGAGGCCCCCGTCCTGCTTGGTCTGTGGCCTTCGCTCTGGCTTCTTGGTGCAGACTCAGCGGTAACTCGTTACTGGAAAGCAGTGACATGAAGTAGACATGGTCACTAAAGCCATAGCCCAGGCAGTCCCCACAACCCAGCATTTATTGGGCCAGAGGAGCCGTCTTTTGGGTCGTGTGATCGTGGGAGAGGGAGGGAAGAGCCCCATTTCCTGTCTTCTGTTCTCTCCTTACGGGTGTTATGTTAAATGATGTGTCAACGCTAGGATTCCGGACGTGGTTCCGGCAGGTCCCAGGCTCTGGAATTGGGGGTGACAGCAAGAGGGGATGGGCTGCCTGGCCACAGGTGCAGCATGAGGACTTGTCAGAGGCCAGATAGGGGCTGCAGTGGGGACAGCTGTCCAGAATCCCAGCCTGGCCAGAGGGCGCAGGAGCAGAAGGAAGCACAGCCAGCGCGTGTAGCCGGGGCCAGCCATGAAGGGCCTCGTGTGTTCGCTGAGAGATTGGAGCTTCCGTTGAGCTGTGAATGGGACCCTTGCAGATTTGAAAGGCTTTAGGTGTTTCCCTCCCCCATTACTCCCCTTCCCCTTCTCCTCTTGGCTTAATGTTCCTTGTGAGACCCACAAGAAGTTCAAGGGTATTTATTTTCCTGGCTAAGATTAGCCTTACTTGCCTGAGGTCGCTTGAGGCCTGCATCTTCTTGGACAGGGAGTGCCCAAGGAGGTGGCCATCTGTCTGTTGTGCCTTACCCTGAGGACGGCGAGTGCAGCCTGTCTTCTGTGCCCAAAGACACTGGCTCAATGATCTCCACAGGTCTCTTTCTCTTAGAGAAGTCCGTTGTGCCTTTAGCCGGGCTGCTGACACTAATTTTGTGGGGAGGGTCTTGGAACATCTCCTTGTGCGGAGTTCTGTAAATAGGATGGGTTCACGTATAACGAAGTGGTTCTGGTTGGGGGACTGTATTGATTTGCTGCACATGAAATGGGAGTTTAAAGAAATCCAAAGACTCTGTAATGAATTGTAAAGACTGAATGATTTGTATTATAAAATGAACTAAACCTCTGTAATTTTGTACCATATATGCCTTTCTGTCATATGACCAGCAGCCTCTAAATAAAACCTGATTTCGTGCCTATGTTGCCTTTCCCTCCGTGAACCCAGACGTGGCGGTGTTTGCGCTCATTGTAGACTGTCCCACAGGGCAAGGGGGGGCCTGGGTCCAGGGCTTTTCAAGATTGAGGCTAGAAGAGGGAGGTTCAGGGAGGCAACAGGTCCCTGAGCGCATGTCTCCAGACTCTCTGCTCTTTGTGGTTTGGACTGAAGAACCAGGGAGGTCCAGTGGGTTCTGTGAGCAGTCTTATCCCCTGAGTTGAGATCTC